TTAAGAAGATGTTTATTGTGTATTATGTGTTGGACTTAGAATGTATATAGGAGGGTCATAAGCTACATGAGGGCTTCCAACCTCAAAATTCCATGATTTAGGGTCCTATTTATCTCTAGATGTTAGTTTATACTCTACAACTCTGTATATAATAGGAATTTAGGGTTCTCATTCATGCGACAGTCAAGCTCAACTCTTCCCTAGTGACTAATCCATAGTTGTGCTTAGTAGGAGTTAGATGGCCTGTGCCTTCTCCACATTCCCTTGTTGGAAAAACAGGATTGTAGTTGACTGCTTTTTGGCCACAAGAAAATGTGTGTTTTCTTAGTATAAAATTGGTGACCGGAAACCAAGAGGACCATTCTGTAGAAGAATGGCAATCGGAAGAAACACTGTGATCTCAGTGTAATGCTCCTTGTTAGTAATCAAGCTCTGACTCCTGAGACAGTCTGCAGGAGACTATAATTTAAAACAAGAGTTGATAGACCAGTTGAGTACCTTTCTTAAAATTACGGCTTTAAGGTGGATATGTTGAAAATATCAACTACTAATTATTGGCTCACCAACCAATGGCATTATTTGTTTTTCCTGTTTGTCACTTTAATATTATGGGATATTAAATGTGAATGTTTACAGATTTTGTGTTATAGATGTCAATTCCATGAATTTTCCAAATTAGGTTCATTAATATGTCCAACGCTAAGAGCCTCTGAATAAGTCAGTCTAAAATTTAGATATTTTATCAAGATTACTCTGAGATGCTCCTGTTTACAATAGTTGTACTGCTAAAAAGTACCAATAATGAACTCTTCTGGAAAGGGCAGGTAGATGTAAATGAAGGCATAGGAAGAGAATGAAATGAACATCTGCTTTTTTCAGCTCTTTGCCAGAAATTCATAAAGGACCAAAAATAACACTGTAGTTCACCAACCTTGTTTCAACTTGTATTAGGTGTAGGAAATTTTCTTTCTTCTTTTTTTTTTCCTTTTTCTAGTCTGAGTTGCTCCATTCACTAGTATATTGAATCCTGAATTATTTATTAAAAATAATTTGCTGATAAGAAACTTACATGAGAAAGTCTGGTCTTTCACAACCACATAGGTGTGCATTCCGTATCTATTTAAACAGCAGTTAAACTCCTGATGAGATGCACTGCAGTACCCATATACTGTGTATCATAACCAGAGTCTTAAATTCCACTGTGAGCCACCCAAACATTTGTTGATTCACAGATTTGTACCTGCTATTTTAGGTATACATTTACACAAGAGCCACCAGGGAAAGTAAAAACTGGAAATAAAACCTATCTTTTACCTCACCCCCATACCTTGATCCATTTCAGTAAGATACTCAGTAAGCAATTCATAGATTGTTTTGAGCCAGAAGAAAATAACATAAGAAAGTGAGAATAAAAAACAAAACTGTAATTGCAAAATGTTGTAAAGGACTACTCAGAGTTCTTTTGAATAATGATAAATTACTTCCTGATTCATGATTGGTGATTTTTTTTTTAAGTCCTTCAAGAGAAATTTACGATCAAGGAGGAACTGACATAGTTAACATGTTTCTTTAGCAAGGCCCTACAAAATCAAAATGAGTGATGCAGTCTGAGAAAGTCATTTCCTCAGATCTCCGAACCCACAGCTCTTAGAACCCCCAACTGCCCTCAGTATAAATTCCATTTCAAAGGAGGGCTTTGACCACAGTTGAGTAGAAGATGGTAGAGACCATAGTTACTTAAAAGATTTTTCTCCTATTAGAGAAAACTTACAAGCTGTTGGGAGTTGCAGGGACCTCATCTGAAATGAAAAAGTGTTTGGTTTCTGGTTCCCTCAGTCTTTGTGGAACAACTAAAGAGCATTATTTTGGTTTCTGAGGTTAAAACCATTTTATTCCCCTCAAGCACACTATGTTTATGGTTTGAGGGAGAATGAAAAATAGGAAACTGAGAACAGGGCTGAAATAGTCTAATCTTAACCATCTAATTCTGTAATGTCTTATTCTTCTAAGAATAGTTATCTTATGTATCTTCTAGCATGAAAAATAATAAAAGGAAAGAACCCTCAGTCATAATTCTCTAGACTGTTTTAATGCTTGGTTGAGTATTTGCTCCTCATGATCTTAGACTTTCAGATATTCTTCCCCAAAGATGAAGTTTGCTGTTAATTATGTGGTCACCTTACAGTGAGCTCCACAGTGTTGATTGTATTATCAATTGAGGATTCAATTAGTTGAAATAACAACATTGGTTCACATTTTACAGTAAAAGTAATTGTTCTTTGTGTTTTACCCATTTTAGGTTATTGGAGTTGTGAGTAAAGAATACATACCAAAGGGAACACGATTTGGACCTCTAATAGGTGAAATCTACACCAGCGATACAGTTCCCAAGAATGCCAACAGGAAATATTTTTGGCGGGTAAGTCAGGAAAATTTTTGAAGACCTTCAGTATTAGGAAAAACTGGAGCTAGAAGAACAGGATCATTTTCTTTTTCAACCTGTGCTCAGAAACACTGGGGTTCACCTACAAGTATTGGTCCCCGTGGAAATAGGGAATTCTGAGCAAGTATAATGAAACTGGTTGAATGTTCATCCCCAGAAATGCAGCCTGTAGGTTGGAGTGAAAAGAGATATGGACAATATGTGAGTCTTATTTTTTTGCAACTCAATAGAGCTTTGTAAGGAAAGGAAACAGTTTGTTACTTGCTTCAAGGGTAGGTTCATTTGCATTTCTCTGCAAGGAAGTAGTAATGAGTCACTAAGCCTTAGATTTCACCCCTTCTTGATTCTTGCTGAGTTAACTAACTGAATGGAAGAGTTATCATAAATGAATTATCTTGAAAAGAAATGTCATTAAGGAAGAATGACTGGAAGATGGGCTAGGGGAATTGAGAAGTACCGCAGGCCTGGTCTTACTTAAATCCATTTTTACCATACAACTATTAAATTTGACAGTATGTAAGTTACTCCCATAGTATAAGGGAAATGGTGACATTCATTCAAGATGAGAAGCTTTTCTATAGAATCCAGCCAAAAGATTCGACCTAAACAATCTCCTTTAGAATATCAGGGTTAGGAAGGACTATACCCACATCCCTAAAGCAGGTGCAGTTGCACACCTGAAATCCTACCTATGCAGGAGGCTGAGACAAGATCAAAAGTTTGAGGCCAGCCTGGGCAGTGTAGCATTTGACTCTATCTTAAAAATGAAACAAAAAAAATTTAAAGGACTAAGGATGTAGCTCAGTGGTAGAGTACTTTCCTCAACACACATGTGAGGTCCTGAGTTCAGTCCCCAGTACTAAAAAGAAGGGAGGGAAGGCTCTCACTGGTGAACTGAGATGGAATTCTGAATAAAAGACTACATTAGGCCGGGGATTTAGCTCAGTGGTTCCGGTGCCTGCCTTGCAAGCGCAAGGTCCCAAGTTCGATCCCCGGTACCAAAAAAAAAAAAAAAAAAAGACTACATTAGAAGTGAACAGGGAAAAGTTAAACTGCCTTCCTCTTCTTTTAGATGTCTCTGGGATAGTTTCCTCAATTAGAAAAGAGATGCTCACTTAAATTTAGTAGGCAGTTTTTATATGTACTTACATAAAATGTCCATGGCTGCACGGTAACAACCAAAATTGGATTGTGCTCGCTTTGGCTGACATTTTTGCCTAAAGAAACCTTGATACCTTTTGGACAGATATAAACGACTTCTGTGAAAGGGATTATTCAGAAGCTATTGCTAAGAATTTTTTTTTAATCCAGGAAGTTTGGTGTTGGTAGAAATTTAGTTTTCTATTTCCCAAGCTAAAGAGAACAGCTACATTGGGCTGGGGATTTAGCTCAGTGGTGCGGCCACCTGCCTCACAAGCGCAAGGTCCTGAGTTCGATCCCTGGTACCAAAAAAAGAAAGAGATCAGTTACAGATTCACTATAGTGTGCTCTCAATTTAGTTAATATTAATAATTATTCATGCTCAAAATATAGCCACTCCTTGGCTTATAATGGAAAAGTTGAAGTGTATTTTTACCTTTATTGCCAATAAATGCTTCTCATATGTGAGCCACAGAGGTGTAGAGTAACCTAGGAGTCAAAGATCTGAATTAAGACAATCCAGTGTAAGTCTCATGAATATGTGGTCATTTTGAAAAAGATAAGAAGCAACTAAGACTCTCATCACTGTCCCAGTTCCTTGTTGCATTTAATGATTTACCATAAGTAACTGAAAGGCTTTCCTGGAGAGGATTTATTTGAGTCAGTCGTCCTTCACATGCAAAGGCTATTGTAGCTGATAACTTCTCACATGTTATTAAAAGTATCCTGATTTTGCTGGCAGGAATGTGAACATCTGTTGTGAGGAAAGAAAAAGTCTCATGAAATTACACAGTCAAAGAGAAGGGATGCTCGAGTTGAGAAACCAGTGACATTTCTTGTAACTGTACTATGAGTCAGCACGTTTTAATCTTCTTGATAATAAATGGAAACGTGGTGAAGTGATAGGCAGCAGCATTCATTTTACGCATGCGTTGTTTTATTTTCTTATGGGGGGATGTGTGACTTCATGGCATCGGACGGTTGTGTTTTTAAGTAAGGATACAGTAAACTGTAGTCCATGGAAGGCTGACTGGAATAGCTTTAGAAAGCAGTTTCCGCCCCTATGAAGAGTAGAAGAGTGATGGAACCCCATGTTCCTGGAAGTTTGCACATCTCAGAGTAAACAAACTTGAAAACCCCTCTTGATAGCCGAATTCACCCAGCCTTGTTCCATTTTCTCTTAACAAAACACACCGCAAAAGCTCTCACAAGCTGCTTTGATGAAGCCACATGTATTTCCCCCTTCACAATTTACAGGAAGTTACTCTTAAAAGAAAGTGATTCTGGTGTTTACTGCCCATGTTAAAGGGACAGGGTTCCTTTTTTATTTCTGATAACGTTTTGAGTGAAATACAGAAATGATTTGTAGACTAATACAGTCAGTGTGTGACTAAGTAAAGCCCTGTTGGAGCAAAATCTCTTCTGTGAACAAGTGCCCTAACCTACACTGCAGGTGACCAGGTACTAATTATGTATGTATAAGGGAAGAGCTTTTGTCTGAAGAAAAGGTGGTGCACCTCTTAATAGGAAGGAGAGAAGAAGCTTTTTGTGGAAAAATAAGAAGTGTGTTTATCATGTAGCTTGAGTATGTTTTCAGTTGTTCCTCCTCTCACCTCTGCCTTTTTACCATGTTCCCTGTGTATATCTGTTAATCAGAAGGAGTACTGAGGACAAACTCTGTTCTTTATGGATTGCCTTTCAAGAATCAAACCCTTTTCTTACTCTTTTTCCAAAATTTCCAAAAGGCAGGCATTGGTTTCTTGGCCAGCCTCCTCCCAGATAAAGGGGATCTCTCGTCCCTCCTCTTGCTTGAAAGAAAAGCGCAAGGCTGAACATGTTTATCAAGAGGAAAAGTGGTTTCTCAGAACGCAGACTGTCAAACTCTGGCCTCTGTCCCGGGGCTCACTTTGTTATGGCAGGTGAAGCTCACCTTTGCCCCACCCAGTGTTTCCACAAAAAGGCAAGGTTCCAAGTATTTATATGAACAAGTGTTACTTTAGGACTCGGAGGGTTGGGGGTGGAGGATGTTTGCATAGTCTAAGCCTTGGGCGGGGGTGTAGGAAACAGCAAGTACAGAGGCCATAGAAAAAGCTGAGACTCGGTTTGACGTAGTCTGCCAGCCTGCTCTTCTACCCAGTGACTCAAAGCACTAAAAGTCAGCACAATCGGAACTGAAGTTAGTAGTGACGCCCATTTGCCCGTCACTGCTGAAGCCAAAGTTAGTACTCTGAGATGGTTTAATCTGTTTGAGGCTGCTCCTTAAATGAAATTTTGTTTCATTCTTCTGTCCCACCCCCCCCCCCCGAGAATATTAAAAGATGACAAAACTGAAATGGAAAAGGTAATCGACAAGAATGTGCCTTAGCTGTTTCCGCCCTCATTTCTGCTGATTCAAGACTACTGTGGCCTAATTGATCTGATTCTTTTTTAGCTAGGTAATAGGGGAGCAGAAATCACACATGCTACTTGGCTGTGTTTATTCTGAGAGGTGCCGGGAAAGCTTCCATTTGCTCTGGGCTGACTTCCTTTCACATTATGTCTGTCTTCTCTTTTGGACAGATCTATTCCAGAGGGGAGCTTCACCACTTCATTGACGGCTTTAATGAAGAGAAGAGCAACTGGATGCGCTATGTGAATCCAGCACACTCTGCCCGGGAGCAAAACCTGGCTGCGTGTCAGAACGGGATGAACATCTACTTCTACACCATTAAGCCCATCCCTGCCAACCAGGAACTTCTTGTGTGGTATTGTCGGGACTTTGCAGAAAGGCTTCACTACCCTTATCCTGGAGAGCTCACAATGCTTAATCTCAGTAAGTGGATTACAGAACAAAAAAAAATTTTAATGCTAGTAATGTCAGTTCTGTCCCTATGAGCTAATAACATGTTGGTTAATTATATGGCTTCATCATCTGTTGCACTAAGTAGGTGGCTTAAACTAGGGACTAGGAAGAGGAAAAAAGTTTTAGTCTTCTTCCCTATTATGAAGCTTGACCATTAAAATAAGAGAGAGAACTGCTTTGAGTGTTGAATTCAGAAAGTTTTTAGAAAAAAATACAAGTCCAATTCTAATTTATCCAAAAAATGGGAGCAGTTAGGAGTGTAGCAGAGATTGGTACAGACATGCTGAAAATGTAGGCTATTGCTCTTGTTTGTGGGTGCTTAAAATGTATGTTGAAATACTGTAGGGATATACATTTGATTATAAAGTCATGGTTTGATGTGGAATATTCTAAGATTGTTTCAAGAGAAACTCTGTCATGGTTTTTCAAATATTCTAAATGAATAACCCTAAAGATTTCATATCTTAGCTTCCTTCCTTATGGTAAAACTAATTAACCTGATCTCCTAATCAGTATTACAGTAACCACCTATCACTTTATCTTGACAAATTGTCAGTTCCTTAGGTTTATAAGCTTTTACTTTTTTATTTGGTTAAAATTGCTGTCATGACCTCTCTCTCTGCAAAAAGCTCCCTCATTTTAATCATTCTCAAGTGATCTCTATGAGCAATTTAAGAATTAATGTAAAATTCTCACCTCGATTGTAACTATGATTATGTGTTCTTGGTTAGATGGCTTAATTTTACAGCAGTTTTTAAAATGAATTACTTTTAGGTCAAAAGTTAAAACTAAACGCTGAAAGTTTTATAACTTTTTGTCTTGATAGACTTCCAACTTAAAGAATCATTTCAAGAAAAGTATGAAGAATTCCCAGTTATCCTTTACCCAGATCCATGAATTTTTCATATGCTATCTCACTTGCTTTATCTGAAGTAAAACTAAATTCTTTTAGTTCACATTTTCACCATTGAGACATTTGGGACAAATCCAAAATTTTAACATAAGTTGGAATTTTGACTTCACCTTTAGAACCAGTTAACAAACCAATTATTTATCCAGTCATATGCAATCCAGACATCCAGCCACTAGGTGTTCATTTTGTGCTCATCAGTTTGCTCCATATCCCTTAGGATCCTAAGGCTGTTTTATGGTATTCTGAAAATCTGAAGCTGTAAGGGTCAGGACCGACCTCCCTGAGAGAATCACATAAGTTGGTGTCCATGCCCCTTGACACACCCACAGTGCACTGTTGTACTTCAGGGAAAGATCTTGGGGTATATGGGAGCAAACTGGTTTTCTACACAAGCACGATATGGTATCTGAGTGGGCAGGGCAGTTCTTCTCCTGTGCCTCTCTCCTAGGCATTCCCTGAGACTCTGGCACATCTCTAGGCCTGAGCACCCCAGGAGCCATTCTGCTGTTTTGGTATCTGTATGTGCCCAGCCTGTCGCTAAGGACCTGGTGGTAAAAGACACAGGCACAGTCAAGTTTCTGTGGAACACACATTCTATCAAGGCATCATAGAAAAGTGTGCTGCTTCCCTCTGACATTCTCAGCCTAGCAAGCCACTTCCTCATGAAGGTCTCCTTACATATCTTGAATTTAATCAGTTATGCATTCAGAATGTCTTTGGGGTTTTTTGTTTTGTTTTGTTTTGTTGCTTTTTAAAAACAGTTAAGTCCACTAGGTGACCACCCTAACCCCGGTGAATTCCCAACAACCATGAAGAAACTTTTTTGCATACCTCCCATCCATTGTTCTAGTCAAAGGTTTTAAAGGCCTGGCATTTTTATTTCCCAATGAAAGGCTTTGCATTGTATTTTAAGATTCAAGTGTTTATTCTTTGTCTTCAGAAGCAACTTTCATATATAGTGTAAAATGACACCACTGTTCCTTCAAATAGCACCTTTTATTTAAGCAGAATTTTTCTAAATGGCAGCTTAGCTTTTTCAGGCACCTCTTCATTATCCAGTATTTATGATAAAAAAAGGCGAGTTAACAATAATCAACCAGTACATTACAGCAGGACTCGTGCTGCCAGTTGTGAAACCAGTTGTCTTAGGTGTGGCAGCTGATGATTGAGACTCTGATCATGAAAATTTCCACTATTTCATCAGGCCTAATAGGCAGATTGTGCCTCCAAATAAGTTGTGTTGGCTGTCCATGTGTACAGCACAGTAGAGACTTATGCCCAAATCTCTGTGAAGGCTTCCATGACACAAGGGGTTCCAATGGTGGAATTGGAGAGAAGGGATGGGAAGCAAAATGAAGTCAAGAAAAGTGGCTAGAAATCATACAAATGACAGTTTTTTAAAGAAAAGAAAAAGAGTAGAAGAACTATTTAAGCCCCTACCCCTCTGAGTTTGGTTTTTTTTTTTTTTTTTGCTATGTATCTAACCTACCCAATCTAGAAAACAGTTGACCAAATTATAGACTTCTCAATGTTAATCTGCTTTCTCAGTTTCAGTTGAAAACAGACTTTGTTTTGCCTACTGCAGAACTTCTAGGTTCTCTTGTAGTCTTGGGGGTTCTTATTATAGATCGAAAATGTGAGTCGGCATAATTAAGCCATTCAGAGCCTTCAGAAGCAGTTCACTCTTGAAATGACTCCATCCACCTACAGCCATTTAAGATTTAAGAACAAAAACAGATCTTGATTTTCTTTTTCGTGTTAACTCAAGCTGCTGCTGAGTGGGAGAGTCAGAAATGACACTAGCTTCCCTGATTACTCAGCTGCTAAAGGACAGTTTTTAAAAAAATTATCTTCATATAAACTCAATTTCTACCTGTAGAACACTTTGGAGAAGCTAACATTTTGCACTGGATATTCTTTTTGAATAAGATATCTTAACTTTTTCTGAAGCTATCATAGATAGCAAACATTTATTGTGGATTTACTATTGGCCAGGTACTACTGCATGAAAAATATAAAATTCTGACTTTTTATTGGCTCAATCATTACCTTTATATCAGTTCCATAATTGAATAATATTAAGATGCTTAAAAACACAAGGCTAAATGTGCTAACAGTCCTGTGAATAGGCTTAAACATATACTTACGGCTTTTGTTTTTTGAAATTTAGGACCACAGAACTATTGAACCCAATGAAAAAATTATGAGATTTAGATGTAATTTACTACATTAAAATGACACAAAATTATGAGGTGGTTTCTGTGTTCTAGGTGGTATCCTTTTGTTTTCCACCTGAGGATGCTTCTAAATCACTCTTTTCCTCTCTCCATGAAATTCTTCCCTGTGGCTCTAAAATGCCTTGCCTTTCAGTTTTTCAGCTTAGTTGTCTTACCCTTCCTTTACCATTTCAGCTTTAAAAAACAAAAGTGACAATTTGAACTTCCTGCCTGCTGTGCCTCACTGAAAGACTGATATTGGCGTGATAAGGGATATTTATTTTGGTTTAGTGGCTTAAGAAATCTCTCTCCCTCAACAAGCTCTCCATCACTGCCCTCTGATCGGCATCTTCCCTGATAGTGTTGTTCCAGTGTTTATTCTGGGGCTTCTGGCTCGCCCGAGGAGTAACTGATAACAGCCAGCAGGAGATAACATTCTCTGAGGGGCTCTCAAACTGGAATTGAATTCCTCAAGTCTGTCAGCCTGGAGAATGAATTTGAGGAGTTTATTCTGGAGCTCCATACAGTTCATCTCCAGACCTGTCCAGTTGCAAGCCTGGAGTTCTTTCTCAGTTAAACCAAGCCAGGACAGTCTATAAGAAGCTAGAGGACACTTGGACAGAGGTTTCCATGTACTCTCTTGAACCTTATACATCCTCTGGTGCCGAGGCCACTCAAGGCATCTCCATGCCCAAGTGGCCAGTGCTGTCCGAATCCTCCTTCGAAAGGCAGGTGTGCTGGCCTGAGTGACCACCCTCTGGAAACCAGAGGTCAAACTGAGCATCAGGTGTTTTACTTTTGGTTGCTACAAAGGCTGAGCAAAGAGATTTCAGCCACCCACCCCACCCTGTGTTTCCCTGAAGGTTTCATTTGCTCTGTGATAGGCCTGGCAATGACATGGATAGTCTGGAACTATCCTCATTGTTCCTGTTCCTAAATAGTCTGTTTACCAAGTAAGATATGTCATCTTTAGGAGTAAATGCTTTCCTCTTAGCTGCCTGTGTTTTCTTTAGTGCTGTAAGTAATTGAACTGGCTCAGGAAGTACCTGTTGTGGTTTGGCAGAAGTGACTGTCAGGCCTCATGATTCCAGGGGACAGCACTGCTGGGAGCCTGGTTAGACGAGAACCTTAGTGAAATGTTTGTGCTGCCAGCCAATCCAGCATAAGGCATCCATATCCATAATCTGCTTGGCATAGGTGGTTTGAACAGGGCTTTATCAAATCTGTATTAAACAAGAATCAAGTTGAAAATTGATGACTGTTTATTACTTGAAATGAGTCTTAATCTTTCACATCTAGTTTGCAGGGTGTGCTGATTTCCTTTAGGTAAACTGTGAACATCAGAATGACTTATTAACCTGTGACAACCCACCCACCCTAGTATTTTTCCGTCCTATTTTAATGAATGCTATCTTGTTCTACCTTGAACAGCATTTTTCTTGTACTAATGGAAACAAGATCATCCAACTGACGCTATTTGCTTTGTCCATACTGCCATTGTCTCCCTTTTGCTGAGGAGGAAATGGAGCAGCACTTCCGAGTGGGCGGCCCAGAGTCCTCTAGAGTGAGAGGAGTTAGGAGCCAGGTGCCTGCAGTTTGTGTTTGCTGGGTGGTGCTCAGGTTTTCTCAGAGAGCAGCTTTGGTGATTTCACTTCAGTTCTCTGTACCCCTTTGAGTGATCACCCTTTCTTTATTTCAGCTCAAACACAGAACAGCAACCCAAAGCAACCGAGTGCTGAAAAAACTGAACTTTGCCCAAAGAATGTCCCAAAGAGAGAGTACAGTGTGAGAGAAATCCTGAAATTGGACTCCAGCCCCTCCAAAGGGAAGGACTTCTACTGTTCTAACATTTCACCCCTTGCTTCAGAAAAGGACATGGATGACTTTAGGAAAAATGGGAGCCCTGAAATGCCCTTTTATCCTCGGGTAGTGTACCCCATCCGGGGCCCTCTGCCGGAAGACTTTTTGAAAGCCTATGGGATGGAGAGACCGACTTATATCACTCACTCTCCCATTCCATCCTCCACAACTCCAAGTCCCTCAGCAGGAAGCAGCCCTGACCAAAGCCTGAAAAGCTCTAGCCCTCATTGCAGCCCAGGGGACACTGTGTCTCCACTGGCTCCTGGCTCTCAAGAACATCGGGACTCCTACACTTACTTGAATGCACCCTATGGCACTGAAGGTCTGGGCTCTTACTCTGGATACCCACCCCCACCCCACCTCTCACCAGCTTTCATCCCCTCTTATAATGCTCACTACCCCAAGTTCCTGCTACCCCCCTATGGCATGAATTGCAATGGCTTGAGTGCTATGAGCAACGTCAATGGCATCAACAACTTCAGCCTCTTCCCTAGGTTGTACCCTGTCTATAGTAACCTCCTGGGCGGGGGCAGCTTGCCTCACCCTGTGCTCAGCCCAGCTTCATTTCCGAGTTCCCTGCCCTCGGATGGGGCCCGAAGGTTGCTTCCTCCTGAGCACCCCAGAGACATATTTGTCCCAGCACTCTGCAGTGCCTTTTCCCCTACTGGGGCAGCCGCCAGCATGAAGGACAAGACATGTAGCCCCACGAGTGGGTCTCCAACGGCGGGAACAGCTGCCACGGCAGAACATGTGGTACAACCCAATGCTACCTCAGCAGTGATGGCAACCCCCAGCAGTGATGAAGCCATGAATCTCATTAAAAACAAAAGAAACATGACTGGCTATAAGACACTTCCCTACCCGCTGAAGAAACAGAATGGCAAGATTAAGTATGAGTGCAACGTGTGTGCCAAGACTTTCGGCCAGCTCTCGAATCTGAAGGTAGGCCTCTTACAGAGCAGCCTGATCATCTGCTTGTGCCTGTGCCCATGAGTGCCCATTGTGTTTGTGCTCAGCTCCCTTCCCACAGATTACAGTTGCATTTACAGCAGTAAGAGACCTGTCTGGGCTCTGCTGATGTGGGTGCTACTTTGCTTTTGCCACTGCTAACTCTGTGGCTTTGGACAAGTTACTTCCCCTCTCCAGAGTTTCTCCTGAATAATAAAACTGTGGAGTTTGGGCTTAGATGATCAATGTAAAGTTCCTTCTATCCAGAAATTTTTGTTCTTTTAGTTCAGGCAAAACAGGGCATTCTGAAAACACTAGAGCTTTGTCCTGTTTAAAAGACTTTGTCTTGATGCTTCTGAAACCCCTGAGGCTTTGAGCAGAAACACAAGGTCTCAGAGGCAGCTTGCAAGCAGAGCTAACACATGCGGCTTCTTCCTAGGTCCACCTGAGAGTGCACAGTGGAGAACGGCCTTTCAAATGTCAGACTTGCAACAAGGGCTTTACGCAGCTTGCCCACCTGCAGAAACACTACCTGGTACACACAGGAGAGAAGCCACATGAGTGCCAGGTGGGCAGTATTTCCTGAGTAGAACTCATGGTCCTTGTAGAAAATGTCTGTGGAGTTGCCTTCTCATGGCATATAGCCCTGGTTTAAGCCAGCTGTGGCTGTGGGCCACTGGCACTATGAGGCTGGCTGGTACTTTGTGTCCACTGACAGGCTGCAATGACAACACGGCCAGCTTCCAGTGGGTGGGAAAATGGCAGAGGAAATAAATCACACCTCCTATGCAGTGTGCCCACATCCCCGTTTGCTTAACAGCACCCTATGGGTTGCTGGGTGTGGGCCTGTTGCTTGCCCCTCCCATGGCAACTCTTAATCTGGTCTTCCCTGTCTCCCTTCTCCGCCCCACACCGCAGGTCTGCCACAAGCGATTTAGCAGCACCAGCAATCTCAAGACCCACCTTCGACTCCACTCCGGAGAGAAACCTTACCAGTGCAAGGTGTGCCCTGCCAAGTTCACCCAGTTTGTGCACTTGAAGTTGCACAAGCGACTGCACACCCGGGAGCGGCCCCACAAGTGTGCCCAGTGCCATAAGAGCTACATCCATCTCTCCAGCCTCAAGGTCCACCTGAAGGGGAACTGCCCTGTGGCCCCCACCAACAGGCTGCCCTTGGAGGACCTGACCCGAATCAATGAAGAAATCGAGAAGTTTGACATTAGTGACAATGCTGACCGGCTTGAGGACATGGAGGACAGCATTGATGTGACCTCAGTGGTGGAGAAAGAAATTCTGGCCATGGTCAGAAAAGAGAAAGAAGAAAGTGGCCTGAAAGTATCTTTGCAAAGAAACATGAGCAATGGACTCCTCTCCTCAGGGTGCAGCCTTTATGAGTCATCAGACCTGTCCCTCATGAAGTTGCCCCACAGCAGCCCACTACCTCTGGTACCTGTCAAGGTCAAGCAAGAGACAGTTGAACCAATGGATCCTTAAGAGTTTCAGAAAACAATTGTTTTGCTTTGTCTAAGTTATGACTTGGCAAATCAGGGTGCCCATAGCAAATTGCTTGTACATAGCTCCAGATCTGCGAAGCTCTGCCAGTGGCAAGTGGTTTTCCTCACTTCTCTGGAACTGAAGGACTCCAAAGTTACTAAAATCTCAGGGTATAAATGAGACAAAAACTCACTCTCTTGATATACATATATATATATACATACATATATATACATATTATATATACTTATTTACACCCATGTCCATATATTTGAACCTGTGTATTTTGAATATTTGTGTGGATATGTTTGCATAGCCTTCCCATTACTAAGACTATTGACTAATCATAATTATTTTTTCAATGATAATCCTTCATAATTTATTATACAATTTATCACTCAAAAAGCAATAATTAAGAAAGTTTACAGTGACTGGAAAGATTACTTGTAATTTGAATACAAATGTATTTTTGTCTTGTGGCCATTCTTTGTAGATAATTTCTGCACATCTTTTTAAGTACCTAAGATTTAGTAGACAGATACATTGTTTCAGTCAACTTCTCTATAATAATGGTTTCAAGTGAGATTTTGGTATTGCCAAAGTTACAGTTGATGTGTTAATTTATAGGATTGTGTCATTTGAACAGCATTGTACAACTTGAGGGTATATGTGCAGAATTACCCAATAATAACTTGAGTAGAAGGAACAAGAAAAGGAATCTTATATGTTTAATGTTGATAGTTCCTATTTTTTTTTCTAGCCACAATTTTACCAGGTGACAGGAAAGCTCTGCCAACCTGATTCTCCAAAAAAGTAGGGTCCTCTCACACCATCCCCAAAGTCAGGACCTTCTGAGTGGCCACATGACTTTTGAATCCTAATGTATTATCTGAAAATGTGAATATGACAAACCACTGAGAAAATTTCCCAAAGCACAGGTGGTTTTGTATGTGTGCAGTTTGGGGGCTTGAGTTCTGAGTGTTTTGCTGTTAGTTTTTGTGTTTTTACGTCAAAATTGCACAGATGTGGTGCTCTTCCAGGAAGGATTTGAAGTAGGCTCAGGCCACACTTAAAAAGTAAACAGAAAAACGGGTATTCTGGTCATCTTAGGGTAAAAGCAGGTGATGAACATTCCTATCCCCAACACATCAATTGTATTTTTTTTTCTGTAAAACTCAGATTTTCCTCAGTATTTGCTTTTACATTTTATGGTTAATTTAATAGAAGATGAATGGGCATTGCAAAGTTGTTCAACAACAGTTACCTCATTCAGTATGTCCAGTAGTGCCGGAAGTGATATCTTATCTAATGATTTGCTACTCTAGAGGAGAAATCAAATGTGCTCCAAAAAGGTAGACTATTGTTCTACCTTTTACTCTGCCAAGTCCAAAGATTACCTGTTGGCATTCAAGGTGTAGCAAAGGATGATGTATATTTATAAATGTATTTATACCACTATACCATGTGTATATATATTTATAACCACTTAAATTGTGAGCCAAGCCATGTAATAGAACCTACTTTTCCTGAGGGCAAAAATCCAAACAAGCAAATACCATCTTTCCAGGACTTTGCTTCATATACTTGATGACCTCATAATCAGATCAGTGCTTGGGTACCTCTTCAGAGGTGAGAACTACGTAACAACCAGGGAGAAAGAAATTTATCACTTTTTTTTAAATTAAGGATCACCTGAGACAGCTGTGTTTTTTTGTTTTGCAATATTATGATTATGTGGTCACAGTCAAGTCACAAATAAAAACCTATTTCTTTACCACTATACTTCCTTCTCTCTCCTTCCTAAATACTGGCACAGTACTATTCATTCTATTTTATATATTTAATATTTTGTTAACATCAACTGATGTCAATCTGCAAAAACAACAAATTTTAAGACATCCAGGGAAACACAAAAGCCTTACTTCTCTGTTCCTGTAACTAGCAAGACTGACAATCTCCCCCAACCCTGTCTAGGACTCAACCCTAGGGCTCTCGTGCTAGGCAAGCACTGTACCACTGATCTGCACCCCAGCCTGAGAGAGACGATATTTTGATGTATCAGTGTTTGACAAGCATAGTTCTTAATTGTAAGTAAACCAAAGCATCACACAGACACCAAATGCTTTTTATTCCCATGTGTTCTTATTTTCCTTTTGTAGTCTTGAATCATCTGAGTTTTTAATAAAAAAAGATTTCTTGGTTTCTCTTACCATCTGTCTTTCTCTCCTAGGCCTCTTACATGGGAATGTTGAGCCCACAATTAACAGTGGTTTTATTTTTTTCCGCTACTCAAAGTTAAAACTGACCAAAGTTATTGACTTTTTACTTTGCTAGACCAACAAACCATCTTAAGTTTACATACTGGTTTACATTGTTATTTATGTGTTAATTGTCAAAATGTAAATTAAATATAAATGTTCATGCTTTACCAGTGCTTGTCTAGTGTCTTGAGTGAAGAGCCAGTGTGCATCATCTTAACCTATACCATAGGGATGGCCCCAGACCACATTTTAGCAACAGAATTTGCTTCTTCCTGCCACCACCCCTCTTCTGTTTCCAGCAGCACCAGTCACAGTGCCCTAATCTTCCCCACCTCAGGGACTATTCTAGAGCATGATCTCCATGATGGCAGTGCTCTTGGTATCTCCCATAACTCAACAGTGTCCTCTAAGAAAGGCATTTCAAGCGCTAGTAAGTAGGGGAAGACCAATTAGCTTTTTGGGCTTTTGTGATTTATTTTGTGGATGAACATGAGTGGGAGGAGGTATCAGAGAAGACTCAATTTCTGAAATGCCTTCTTAGTTTTTGCCTCTGTGGTGTGTGTGGGGTGTGTGTGTGTGTGTGTGTGTGTGTGTAAATTCAGGGGGTGGGAAGCCCTGGGAAGTGGAGTTCATTGATGGCATCAGATTTGCTTCAGTATCTTAACAGAGCAATGCCACAAGGAATGCTCTGCACCCCACTTCCCCCTGTCAGATCTGAACCTGGGAGGTAGATTTGCTACTTGTGCATTTAAAATGAACTTAACCTGGACATTGTTAGTGTGAAACCCAGGATCATGGTGGCATAACATGGGCCCCAAGAGTTAACTTAGTGAGAGGTGAAAATGAGTCTGCTTGCTTGTCCACAGGTGTTCCAGAAGCTAACCTGTCTCCAAGGGAAAGGCAAAATAAATTTGAGTCTCATTTGGTAGATATTAGTAGGAAGTACATCTAGAAAGGTGATAGTGCCCTCAGTGAAATAATTCTAAAAGTCCTTTGCAAGTGGTTTTCATGCCTCCCACTTCATTACCGAGTTCATGGTTCCATGCTAACTGCATGTTAAAAAAATAATGTCCCTTCTTAAACTTGAACACTTAAAACTGCCTGTTTGTTTTTAGTGTTTCTTCTTTAAATTCACTTAAACATCTGTGCCAAGAATTTGAAATGCTGCCAAAATGTAACTGTGGAGTTAAAAAAACCAGAACCCTATTGTCATAAATGTGCCAAATTGTGCTGGTTATACTCCTAAATTCTACAGAACCGTTGTAGTAATAATTTTTCAAAACAAAGCTCAAGAAGATCCAGAGTATAACAGTTACTACTATAAATCATAGTTCTTTACTTGGCAAATGATGTCTTTTTGTTTTGAAAGTTACATATCTTGAGAACACTTGTGGATGGACCTAGCCTGTTTAAAAACATCACATGGAAGGATTGTGTTTGGTATGAGCTAAAGTCCACCAGCCAAAGTCCATACTGCTAGATTGAGGCTGGTCACATTTGTTTGATGGGCAAAGCAAGACTTAAGTCACCTTTTTCTGGCATTTTCCTTAATTAAATAAAAAGCTCTGCAGAAGTAATGCCTAAAATTCTCCACCGTAAGTCACTAGACAGTATATACAGTACCATAGGAGTTTGTGGGCACATTTCTAAATTTTTTTCTTGGAGGAAATAGAATCAATTTTGGGCCCATAAATAGGTGTGGGCTAATTCCTATGTGTGTGAGAGTGTGTGTGTGTGTGTGTGTGTGAGTGTGTGTGAGTGATGGCTTCTCCAAAACAGTATAATGAGAAAAGACCAGCACAGAGGAATGAAAGTAATTAGAGGCACGTGGCAAAAGATTTCTAATGTAAAACTGGGCTTCTAGGGTAATATTCTTATCTAGAAAGGAAGGCTGTAACCCAGAGCAGGCAGCTAAAAGAACTGATGAAAAGGAGAAAAGTTAGATCAAATGTGGTCACTGAACCAGTCCAGAAGACACTTGAGTTTTCTTTGAGAAGCTATATAGTTCTTTGGCCATAACATGTCTGTTTCATTACTAACTTGTGGCCAGAAGAAATCAGATCATTCTGAGCATCCGCTACCTCTTTGGGGTTCCCTTCTGGGTAGATAGTGAATCCAAGAAATGTCCCAGGACCCAGTCTAGGCTTTCGTCACATACTTTCTTTTTTTTTTTTGGTACTAGGGATCAAACTTGGGTCCTTGCGCTTGTGAAGCAGGCAACGAAACCACTGAGCTAAATCCCTGGCCCTATCACATACTTTCTTAAGCTTCAAGACCTCAGAATCCCTGAGTCCATCTGCTCAGAGTGCTGCTGAAGCAGCTCCTTAAATAAGTGACAAGTGATTTTAATCTCAATACAGCCTTAATCATGTAATTTAGGCAAAAACTACAGCCAGCCAAATTCCAGAAAGTTATTTTTAACCAGATTTATGCAAATACTCTCTCCATTGCCCAGTTTCACACAATATTATAAACTAACAAACTCTCTCCTAGTTTGCTCTAAGTTTGACAGATACTGAACCTGAGCTGGCTGTGTGCACATTTCCTTCTCTCTGAATTTTAGATGGTTTTATTCAGCATAAATATGAATGTAGAGGGAGGGGGAAAAGGGGAGGGAAAGGGGATATAAAAAGAATTTTTAAAAAATAAGTACACATGAATGTAGTCACCTTTCAGTTTTCTTTTACCTCCACCAAGAAAGACAGAGGAAGTGACAGCTAAGTACCAGTGAGTGAGTAATTTTGGTAAATTCTTCATTGTATTAAAAGTGCTTTTCCTCATAAAATTATGGTAAAACTCCCCATCTTTAGGCATCTGAAGGATTCAGATATTCCACACTGGAGTTCCTAGAGATTCCAAAAGGGGATGGGAAATGAGATACAGTACCATTCTCTCCCAGCACTGCTCCTGTCATTGTGAAAAGCACACCTCAGGCCAGTCATTTTCCAGGGCTATTATTTCTTGGGAAGAGAAGAGACCATCTCTGCCTCTGCTCCTCCCATCAGTACCACGTCCCTTGAGTACTAGCTCCCATCCACAAGACAAAGGTGATACGCACCTTGGTCCCCTTTCACAGAACCTTTCTTGCCTCCTCAGTTTTAGTACAATAATCTGACATAATGTGCTTTGAGGATCAAAAATGGGGTCTCTTGACTCCTTCTTTCATGGCTTGCAAGGCCAGCATATAAAAATACACAAAGATAGGAAGCGGGATTAGGAGCTCCTACTCTTGTGGGAAAATGCAGTGAACCAGGAAATTAGAGGCTCAGTTCTAATCCTGGTTCAGCCTTTTGTTAACTGTGTGCTCTCGAGAAAGTCACAGAACTTCACTGCACCTCCATTTCCTGATCTTTAAAAATGAAGGATCACTCCTAAATCATCTTCCTGCTCTTTTGGAAATATTAAATGTTTAATATGCAAAATTCCATCATTTTCTCTTATTTCCTTTGGTTTTTCTTTGGAACTCTGATCACTGTATAGGCAGTTATCTGTAGTTTGGAGAGCAGAAGTCAGAGAAGATGGAAATGAAGAGGAAGCCTGTAGGGAAACAACTACTATGGCTTCTTTGGGCAAAAAGAGAGTGAGCTCACAAAAGTTCTGCTAATTGGTGAGAGCTCTGTGCTTTCTCCAGGAACTAATATGTTCATCCAAAAGGAATCAAGGTTCTTTTGATGGAAATAATGGGTAGTACTTAATTCAAACCTCTGCTAGACTTAAGTACCATGGATTCTAAGATATTTAATTTAATGGGTGTTTGGTTTTCTTCTTTGTCTCTTTTTTTTTTTTTTTTTAAGCAAAGGCACACTTGTAGGACAAGCAAGAAAGATTTAAGTTTGTTTCCTCAAAAAGGACTAGGAGACAGAAATACTGGCACTAATGAAGAGAATAAGAACCCAATAAAGACACCCTAAAGGAGACACTGAAAGGGAACATTTCAGTTAGCAAAATAATCAAGGGCCTCAATACCGTTTTAACGGTTCTAAGTTTTAAAAAGGGAATAAAGAAAAATTAAGCAGAGAGAGGGAAAGATTAAGCCAAGACAGAAACTGTGAGTAGATAGATGTGAAAGGGGCTGAAAATAAGTGAAAAGTGAAAAATTGCTTTATGAATAAACCGTTAAAAAATAGTGAGTGAAAAAGCAATTGTGCTTCCAGTTATTACTGAATCACAAGCTTGTGGAAGCCAGAGGCTGACCTGAGCAGCGACTCCACGCTTAACCTACATTGCAGCAGTTGGTGGCAGCAGTTCCTGTGGGCGGACACTGTTTTCTACTTGAGTGTTCAGTTTCATTGTGATTTCCCTCCATTGCAGACAGTGTGGCGTGGCCATTTTACCACTGAGCACACAAAAAACATGACTTGGTCATCTTCCTGCCCTGCTAATACTGTAAGGCAGGTGATAACCTCAGGAGGACACACAGTGCAGACAAGCCGAGGGCGAGGGTGAGGGGTGAGGGGCATCTTTCTGAGAGAAGAAGCTGGGAAGCTGGTGAGGCCTGTATCTATTATTTATCTTTGCCCTTTTCTGAAAGTGACAAGGTCATTTCACACTCAGTGTTTTGTCATTCCTGGTGGTGTGTTCCCACAAGGTTATGGTGGCCCAGGCACAAGTGTCTCCTGGGCTGAGAGCTGAGAGATTATCCTTCTCAGGAGCACATCAGGTCTCAGGCATATTAGATGAGATGCCAAACATAGACAGCCCAACACCATCAGCAGCAACAGCAGCAGCAGCAGCCTTGCATACTTGAGGAGGCACAGGGAGTACTAGGAAGTGAACCAGCTCTTCCAGTGTGACTCTGCCCTCCTCCTAGAGCCTCCAGAAAGAGGCCAATAAGGAATGAGCAGAAGTGCTCAGGCACTCACTGGAAGATAGGCCCTGTGCCATGCAGAGTGGCTGATGCCAAGCGGTACAAGCCAGTCCCCAAGCTGCAGGGTTGCTTCCCTTCACATTCTGAGTATAGAACACACTTCTGTTTCTCCACACATTTAACTTTTGATAGTCTGCTCCAATGGAAAGCAGGTAGGAAACAGGTGGTCACAAATCCCTAGACAAATTGTGTAGAAGTGCTTTCTGAGTGCTATCTTGGTATCACCCTCCTTATGCACATCCTTACCTCTGTGACAGACTCAGGGAAGCAGGTAGCTCTCCAGTGTAAAAGAGGCTGGAG